ATATCTACCCAACATCACTAAGAGGGGGTCAAGAAATAACATCTTGAGTAAGGGAAGATGAAGGAATAAAGTGGAAAAATAATGAAGTATCTACTTTCCTTACTGTAATTTTCCAAGTACCACATCAGGGGTCCAGGGGAGAAGCTTAAAAGAGGATGGGACAATAAAAGATGTTGTGGTTTTGTTTTGTTTCTTAAGTTTGACTAGGCTTTTGTACATCAGCTCTACTGGTAACCTAAAGATTGATTTATCAGAAGTTTTTGTGCAGGGGCAAGGATGGAAAATTCAACACAGAATTTAACAGGCTGTTGCAGAAGAAAAATACCATCATTTCACAATTTCACCCACTAAATTCAGGTTATTCAATCAACAAATACACACATTTTCAAGTTGCATTCTAAAACAGTTTTACAAATTTATAATATCATCAGCAATGAAGGATAATCAGTCTGATGATATTCTCGCTAGCTTTAAACACTCTATTTCTGTATTTACCATAATTTAATATGTGAAATAGGATCTTAATTTATGATACTTTCTTATTATTATCATAATTAAACAGTTTTCATTGGCATATCTGCTATTTTTATTTGCTCATTTATACATTTACTATAACATCGACCAATAAATTATTGTTAATTATGCTAATTATTTTCTTATAAATTTGCATGAGGCATCAGGAGCTGAACTCAATCCCCTATTTAATGTAACCATCACTGTAATATGTGGCTTGCCTTTCAACAGAAAATAATTTTTTTACATTAGAAATTTTTTAATGTATTGAAATTTCAACTGTCAATTTTTTCTTTAATTTCAAACTCTTAGGAAGGAAATGTCCATTTGTTTCTTTATTCTTTTGTCATGAGATTTCTAATGTTTAAATGTTTATTTTCCATCTAAAGTTTATTTGTGTAAAGCTCAGAATCCGATCAGCATGAGTTGAGTATAACAAATTGGCTGGAAAAAACCTGTTGTTTGCAGGATATTTCAAGTTTCATCAATATTCATATTCTATTAATATTTTAAAGCCCAATTATTCTCTCTCTCTAGCAAAGACTGAAGTGACTTTTAACAATAGATTTTCTTTCCAGAAAAGAAAAAAAAAATCCAAACAATTTCCCCCTTTGTAAGTATAGAACTGCCTAAGCTCAGTCTCTCTTTTTCTGCCACATTCACCCTCTTCCTCCCACCCTCACCACCATTAGAATTTACACACCATCCATTGTCAGGGACGCAAACTCCTCTACAGTTTGTTAATGTCCAAGAAAGGCCATCACCTCTGAATCATTTTTTCCCCCCACACATAAATCCTTGGGCCAACAAAGAAAAGTGGTGTTTTTCCATTTCCATAATTCCTGTTATTTTAAGTCTATCCCTTAACCAAAGTGGCTTTTTGGTTTTTTTTCCTTGATAACTCACAGGTTCAAATGTAAAAATTTATTATTACAAGGAACAATTATGAGGTTCAAAGCAAACTGTGTGCATTCCATGCTCCTAGCTTCTCGTACTGATATACGGAATAAAATATTTGTGGTTGTCTATTCGCATGAAGTGGACGGGATCCAACCGCTGGTGGTGAGAGGCTTAATGAATGTCTGCCTTCGTCAGACCCAACAGGGATCTAGCATCATGGGAGGTTGCCCAAGTGCCATATTGCAGGCATCTCAAAAACAAACTTTTGACCATTTAACTTATTCTTTCCAGTTACTCTTCAACGTCAACAATAACAACCACCAAAGAAGAAAAAATGGCTTTGCTTCTTTTCTTACTTTAAATATTGTCCCAGATTTTAAGATTTCAAGATCTCTTCCCCAAAACATTGAACTAGAGAAACTACTGACCTTTTTGAACACCTTTGGGTTTTGCTTCTTCAGTGCAGCATGTTCAGTATTGTTTTTGTTTTTGTTTTTTTTTGAGACGTAGTCTCACTCTTGTCCCCCAGGCTGGAGTACAATGGCACAATCTCGGCTCACCGCAACCTCCGTCTCCTGGGTTCAAACGATTCTCCTGCCTCAGCCTCCCGAGTAGCTGGGATTACAAGCGCCTGCCACCACGCCTGACTAATTTTTGTATTTTTTGGTAGAGACGGGGTTTCACCATGTTGGCCAGGCTAGTCTCGAACTACTGACTTCAGGTGATCTGCCCGCCTCGGCTTCCCAAAGTCCTGGGATTACAGACATGAGCCACTGCACCTCACCATGTTCAGCATTTTGATAACTCCCTGCTCATAAAGTCTTCCTCATTTGATGAGATACTTCATTTACATGGTTAAATGAAACAAAAACAAAAACAAAACACAACATTCTTACTAGTTGCTATTTTCTTGCTGTCTCTGTTTACTTTTTTTTTTTTTTTAAATAAGACTAGGACATAGTAGTTCCCTCTTCTGTGCTCCTATATAATGTTTGTAACTGCATACTAGAACAAAAAATGTATTTTACTTACTTGTGTGTATGTTTGCCTCGTCTGGAATACTGAGAGCTTTTTGAGGTTACAGATATATCCAGTGCTTTTTATTTGCATAGCACATAACATAAAGTCCAATACATAATAGGTAGTCAATAATGCACTTAAGTAAATGAATTACCTCTGATTTGTGTATGATACTTGGAATGCCTCAAGATTTTTAAATCATCTGCACATTGATATCATACTATCAACAGATCTTCTGCTGTTAAATGTTCAATTAACTATCAATAATAGCTCTTAATACTCTAAGCAATACTGTCCGACAATATAGCCAAATTTGGCATACCCAGATACTTAGTTTTGTGCTTTTTGGTGTGACAGAGACTGCACATATGCACTAAAATCCATTGGCATTTCCCACTGGGCACACACACACACACGCGCGCACACACACACACAAAAATACATTTTCTATCATACTTTGCAATTAAATATGGCCATATGACTTAATTGTGACCAACAGAATGTGGGCAGAAAAGATGTTAATTAATTTCAGGCCCATTTTATCACAATATCCCACAAGTGATTCTTGTTGCTTTTTTCTATTTGTCTCTGAAAAGGGAAGGATCTGAGAACCTATAATGTAGACTTAGGATAAAGATCAGATTAAGGAAATGAATATTCACAAATGTTATTTCAGATAGCCTCATGGAGGCTGATAGATGAGGCTGGAACAATGAAGGTCCAGGTCATGTTGTTTCATGGCAAAACATATGGTAAAACCATTTCATACATTAAATAGAAAGGCACAACATACCTCATGAGCCTATAAGCCTGTAGTTTTTGGATGTGAGGACAAGAGATTGATGGGAGAGTAACAGTGCCTATTTGCTACTATTGGCCTTTGTTAGCAATATATTACAAGAAAGGGATGAGCACAGACAAAAACAGACTTATTTTGAAGCAGAAATTGAAGTGGATATGTATCCAGAGATCAATAACTTTTAGAGTTAATAAACCTGAGTGCTTCTGCATCCTAATTAAGACAAATTGGAAAAGGCTCTGAATGACAACAATCAAATAACATTATTGGTAAAAAAAAACAGACAATTTAATATAAAGATTAGATTAAGGAAACAGTATTCAAAAATATTATTTCAGATAGCTTCAGGGAGGTTGGGAGTGGCTTAGAAGGTTATAGGTGAGGAAGCAAAAAATAAATCAGTCATGAGAATTATTACAATGAGAAAACTTCAAATGTAGTTATTGGTACATGGAATTGACTAGAAGCAAGACAATTTAAATGTCTATTAGTTTGGGGAAAATTGTTTCCCTAAGGATTCTATGAGCATGGACTAAAAATATTGACTTCTTAAGCTTTAAGATTAGTACCGGGTCCCCCAACTTTTATCAGCACCAGACATAATCCCCAACTCCCACTTCCTGAAGGTCATGGGAAAGACAGACAAAGAAGAAGCTCTCAGAGGCTGGAATCAGCAACCATGGAGAACACTGAAGAAAGGAGATTCTAGGGAGCATAATTTAGGAATAAATAAAAGATTTTTTTTCCAGCCAAATAATAGGACCCTTAATATCTGCCTAGCAGGATTTCAAAATTGCTATGGTTCAGTAACAGCTGAATGCCTCTCATTTTTTCCTTTGCCAAACAGGTGCCTAAAATGTTTTCCTGTATCTATGTATTGTCCCTGCATGATATGTGTATGCATGTGTGCGTGTGTGTGTATGTGTAAATACATATCATTTAGAGGTTCAAATAAGCCACTTCAATTCTGATCTAGAGAGATGAGCATCACTCGAGGATCCTGGACTTTGAGTTTTATGCAATGACTTGTTGGGACCTTTAGTTTTCCACCTTCAGAAAGGACACCTGTGTTCCATGTGTGGCAGGAAAAATGGAATAGATGTTTGGTGAACAAATGGATAGAATTGGCACAGACTGACTAGCTCTTCATCAAATGTATTTTCTTCATGTTCTAAGCATATAGATAGACTATATTTCCTAACGTCCACTGTACTTAGGTGTAGTCACATAACTAAGTATTGTCAATGAAATATAGGTAGTAATAATTTTCACTGCCTCCAAGCCTGGTGTATAAAACCACACACACAAAAACCTCTCTCTCTTTCTTCATGTATTAACTGAACAGGGAAGGCTATCAAGCTCAGTAGGAAGGCAGATACAGAAGATGAAAGGAACCTGAGTCCCTGAATAGTCACTTAGAGGATTGCTTTACCAGAAACTCCAGATGTGAATAACAGATAAACTTATTATTTAGTTAAGCCATTGCTATTTGTAGCTTTTCTCTTACACTCTATGTTAAGCAGAATGACAACACACCCTCAAAGATGTCCACTTCCTCATCCTTGGAACTTGTGAATATATTAAGTTATATGGCTGAATGGGGGAAATTAAGGTTGTAATGGAATTTAGGTTGCTTGACAGCTGATCTTAGAAGGGACAGGTTATCCTGGGTTATCCAGATAGGCTCAATGTAATTACACAGTCCTTAAAAATGGAAGAAGGAGCAGCAGAGGAGATGAGAGTGATGCCATATCAGGACTCAACTCACTGTTGCTGGCTCTGAAGATGGAAGACAGGGGATAAATGCCAAGGAATGCAGGTAGCCTCTAGGATCTGGAAAAGACAAGGAAATGGATTCTCCCTTAGAGTCTCCAGCAGGGAAGGTAGCCCAGTCAACACCTTGATTTTGGTCCAGTGAAAAACACTTCAGACATCTAACCTAAGATCCAGAAGATAATAAATTTGTATTATTTAAGCCTCTAAGTTTGTGGTAATTTGCTACAGCAGCAATAGAAAACTAATACACAGCCATTAACATTACATTTATTAAGTTTAAATTACATGGCATTGTATAAATCCCTCATGCATCTCCTCCTTTCAGCCCATCAAAACATATTCTCAGATTGTTAGTTCATATTCAGTATAAATTTCTATATAACATAAAATTAATACCTTCCAAAGAGATTTGAACTTTAGGGGGAAATCAAGTATTATAGTTAACACATAAATCTCTACCAGATGGAAATTCAATCTGGCCTAGAGACTGGGAGAATTATTTTTGCATCTGAATGGCAACATATAGTTCTCTTAGTTTACCTTTCAATGTTCCAGAACCATGCTTTCTCTGATTTTAGATTACCATTTGTTAAGGAGTAAGGAAGATGGCTGGGTGTGGTGGCTCACACTTGTAATCCCAGCACTTTGGGAGGCTGAGGCAGGCGGATCACCTGAGGTTGGCAGTTTGAGACCAGCCTGACCAACAAGGAGAAACCCTGTCTCTACTTAAAAAAAAAAAAAAATTAACCGGGCATAGTGGCACATGCCTGTAATCCCAGCTACTTGGGAGGCTGAGGCAGGAGAATCAGTTGAACCTGGGAGGCAGAGGTTGCGGTGAGCCAAGATGTGCCACTGCATCTCCAGCCTGGGTGACAAGAGTGAGACTCCGTCAAAACAAAAAAACAAAAACAGAGTAAGGAAGCTACTAAAACTGGGGAATTGAGCTCTAAGATATCTAAGCAACAACAGAGATAGGTTATCTGAAAACAGAAAAATTACTTAACCACTCTGGCTTGTTTTCCTTTCTCCAAGATGAAAGCCATTAGTGTTACACTAACTGGTCTGGTAGATCTCTCTTGGTTCTAAGCTGCTATAAAGCAGACGAGTCTATATTTCTCTAGTGGCTCCCATGCAAATTAGTTTATTAGCAAATATAAATTTTTACATGTTTGACTTTTTCCCACTCTAATTGTTCTTATAACTGATATGCAACTAAGAAGAAATGTGACAATAGTGGGTAGGACAGAATGACCATGCAGGTATTCAAATTCCTTCTTCACTTAATTGTCAACTGGTTAGGAGAAGTGGGATAACTTCCTCTTCTGATGGAGGGAAAAACTGACCAAGGTATTGTACATAAAGTTTCATCAGCAGACATCAGACTTGGTTCATACACGTGGTAGTAACAATCAAGCAAAGATGGAGGAAAGACAATAGACAGCATCTGGGAAATGGTACTGAGAAAGAAGTGGGACACAAAATCTCCATTAGCAGAGAGACAACAGCAGTCTTTGTGCGGTTTACTGTTATAAAATTCTGAATAGGAATTCTGTTTCACAGCTGTTACAAGAGAATTGAAATACAACTGTGTCCAATAATTGAAAAACAGCTGTTCATTCGCCATGTCTAAAAACAATTATATAGGAGAAATTGGCTTGGCAGTACAGCAAAAAAAAAAAAAAAAAAGTGTAATTACTTTTAATTGCCAAAGTGGGGAAGCAATCCGACAGTGGAATACGAAATTGTATGACATCATGAAATCTACTTTTCTGATAGTTGAAAAAATGGTTAACATTTTCTCTGCCTGCTATGCTCTCTGAAGGCAGGAAGGAGTCCCAGTTCATCTCTTATAGGCCCTTGGAGACAGCATTGTGATGCCAGTTTCATTTGTCTATTTTTCCTCCATATGTGTACACATAGTGTGCACATAACTGATACGTTTTCTTAAGACTTCCCTTTACAGTAGCTATTTCCCACTCTGCTGCAGACGAACAAAACCAGAAAACTAAAGGGAAATCAGTGTGAGTCCTGAAAGTTGTGCCCTGCAGTGGGGATTCCGCATGAAACACAAAGACAGGACACAAAATATGCTACTTTTCAAGTCACATTTACAAGACTTCTCTTTTACTGTAATTCACTCACCAAAAATACAATTGCATAGTCCTTTAGCATTCTGCAGTATTTCTCAGCACCAGCAAACAGGCAGTAAGGACTTTTTCACCAAGAGCCAAGAATAAAGAGAGTTTGTAGCCTTCTATGAGGATCTGCTCACTCTGAACCGTCAAGTAATTGTGGGAAGTTGATTGTCAATGCTCGGGTAGCAACCCTTTCGACTATGTGATGACCTGCTTTTTTGCTTGCTTTCTATTAAAAAACTGTATTTGATTCCGTGCAAATTCATAAACCAAACACAAAATTCAGGGGTTAAACAGTTCAGTAAACAGATGAGACAGACATGCTAATACACTGGAAACATGCTATTTAAATTCAGACTAGTTAAACAGGATGCCCTTTTGTCACTGACCAAATTGTTAAATTGGTGCCTTGGCAAGAGCCTTTTGTACTCGTCTGAAGATTCCCGGGATCCAAACCTCTGTGGTATTAAAACAAACAGAGTAAATATTTTCCTTGAAGTTTACATCCAAGATCTAAATATTTCCAAGCATGTCAAACTCACTTTTCTCCACCGCTCCCTGCAGGGTCCATGTAGACTTCGGCTGCCAAAGAACCCAGTTGAACTTGCCTTGGGAGGGGCCTCATCCCTGAAGACAGGCAAAGCTCAGAGCCAGAAGCAGAGCGCCTTGCAGCTGTGCTGCTCTGCTTGGCAGAAGGAGCTCACGCAGCAGCAGGTGTGCTATCTGCTGACTTCAACACACAGAGAGGGGGCAAGGCTCTGTCCTTGCTGCTTGCTCCCTGAGCTTAAGTATCTGCCATTCCCTTTTACCTATTTGCAAAGAAGTGCCAAGAACCTACCCTGGGAAACCTGCATTTCTCTTCATTAGCTTTAAGGGTGTAAGTCAGCTTTCTAGCTACATAACTTTTAGCTCTACTTAAGCTAGTTACATCTGCAAAATAAAGTGATTCCTCTGCAGAATCTAGCACAGAATATTAACAAACTGTGTTTCTCCTCTGTCTCTGTCTCCCTTGTTTCATATTGTTTTCCATCCAACATGCAGCTGAAGTTCTCTTGGAAAGAGAATACATAGAATCACAAATGAGTACCATATCAGTATTTTTTTGGACCCTGTATCTTGGGGACTTATTCTGAAAGTGTCCCAGCATAATTGCAAAGACAATGCTCTGCTTTTTTGTTTTTTCTTCTTTTGTAGTTACTGACAGTAAATTTTCAAACTGCCATCTCAAATTCAGTGTAATTGAACTCAACCAGAACTACTGAATATAACTGTAGGTATCAATACCTTTGCCTTTAAATTCAATGAGGTACTTCAAAGTACCTCATCCCATCTCTAAGAAACGCACTTACATTTACCTGGAGTTACCTAATATGAATGAGCCCGGTGCTGCACTGGCCAGACCTTCCTTCACTGAAGAACCTGTTGCTCTTCAGCTGTAGGCAGATGGCCATAAGCTGGCTGCCCTTCCAAGGACTGCTTCTGTTACAGAGACACACCCCTTTACAGGCAGCCCACACCCAAAAACTGATCAAGGAGGGAGTGTAAGGGCCTGTTCACTGCAACTCATCTTGAGAAAATGCTGAAGGGTCATTCGAGCTCTAGAAATCTCTATGAGATTCACTGCAGTTGTGATGGGTCTCCATGGAAGCGCAGCTTCTTTCTCTGCCCTGTCTGCTTCCTTCCCCTACCTCGAGAGGTGTTGATTCCAAGGATGCACCTTAATTAACATAATGAGCTCTTAATTTCATCTCAGAATCTGCTTCCCAGGAACCCTAATCTTTGCCACATAGGCTCATACGAAGCCCATTTTGTGGGGAGTCATGTCTGCGTTTGATGCAGTCATCCAATCAGTCAAGTATTTGATTAAATGGGTACAATGTATACATTTATATCCATAGTAAAAGGCAAAAAGAATATCTACTCCCATCTTGGTAGAATATATAGTCAAGTTAGAGAGATAGTATAAATACATGAAAAGGTAACTCATTATGTAATAAACGATAAGTATCAAATGGTTACATGGCATTAGGACTTATCAGAAGGGAAGACTGATTTTAGGACAAAGTAGTTGCTGGTTCTTTGAGGAGCAGTAAGTTTATTGTAACCCATTATTATCTGCAGACTGTTCTTCTATGAAAGTCAACTCCTCAAGACATACAAGAGTCTTTACCCTAGAAATGAGATTGATTCTGAGTAGCCTTCCTGTTGCTCTGTACCTCATGATGAAACTGCCGGACAACTCACAATGGCAGTAGGTCAAAAACATACTTCCATAAATACTTTTTCCATGAGATCTGCTATAGCTGGCCCTCTTCTTCCTGGGTCGCTTAGGTTCCCAGGGACTCTCCACTTTCCCCATTCAAACTCCAAAGCATTGACACATAGTGAAGTTGTCTTGCCCTTCTTCTGGCTGAGCTGGTTTGCAGGGTTGGCCTTGCCAATGCAAATCCCCAAAGCTAGGTCTTGCTCTCACCTGTCTTGACCTTGCCTTTCTTGGTACCTTCATTGTTTCCATTTCCACCTCTAAGTTCTCATCTCCATTTTGCCCCCTCTAGATTCTATCAACCCCCTGTGATCTCCCATCTCCAATGTAGAACTAACAGAATTTGCTCTGCCTTTTTACAAAATCACAGTCCAACATGGAGGCCTTGGGCAAATCATTTAATCTCATTCATCTTCAGTAGTCTCATTTACAAAATGAGGATACTAATTCCTACCTCCTGTAGATGAGAATGATAATGATTAATGAACTGACTTGAAAGCAGGAGTCTTCTGGGAAGAGGTAAAAACAAAACATAAACATAAAATCCTTGCAAAAGCCATTACCTAGATTTACTGTATACCAAGCACTGCGTAAAGTGTTATATCATAATATATAACCCTCCAGTAGAAATTCCAAGGAACTGTGACAAAAAGCTGTGTCACTTGGGAATTAAAATGTGATTTATCTTTGGTTACTCTGACTCTATTCCAGATGTAATCTGAAACAACTCCCTGCCCATTCTTGCACAAGATCTCTTTCCTTTCTTCTTTTTCATTCTCAATCCTACCCCATCCTAAGTTAAGCCTTAGCAATTTATAACATCTAAAATGCTGCCTGATTGATTTTCATGACTCTGATTTGAATGTATCTGCATAATTCCCCTGCCCCGCCTCAGGCTTAGAGCCAGGTGGGGAATAGCTACAGGTGGGAAGTGTCCTATCTGCTAGGATGGGGTTCTTGTTATCCACAGTAGAAATAATAGCAGCAAGATCTGAAGTGGTATCCTGGAGCAAGGCCAGCATCAAAGCTGTGATACAAAACAAGATTGCTAATCTGAGGAGGACATAAAGCATAGAACATGGGCGAATACTAAATCAAAACAGAGCATAAATAAGGACAACCAATGAACAAGCTATACCTAAACACATATGAAAAGGTTAAGTGGGAACTATTTTTAAAGTGGAGAACATATGACTTTTTAAACACTTGCAAAAGTCATGCAACCATCATTACAACCTAATTTCAGAACATTTTTATCACCTCAAGAAAAAAAACCCGTATCCATCAGCAGTCACTCCCTGTTTCCCCCTTGCCCCAGCTTCTGGCTACGCCTACTCTGCTTTCTGTCTCTATACATTTGCCTATTCTGGACAATGTGCTTTGGCTTCTGGTTGGCATTGTTCTGCTGGATGTATTGAAAGAAACTGAAATGTGGTGCATTCTTTCCTGTATGCCTCCATCAATAATTCACATCATGTGTTATTCTGATTTTGCTATCCCTTTCATCAAGATTTTAACACCCTCTTCTCTTCTCTTCCCCTCCCTTTACACAACTGTTTCCATTGCTCCTTTGTTTCACATTAAGATGCTTCATCATAAATTCCATCCAACAATTTTGCACCCCCCTACTTCCACATGTGCCCTTTAATAGGAATCCGAAGTGTACATATTATTTAAGACTAGATCTAATGCCACCTCCTCCACCGTGTTTCCCTAGATCAATCCAAGAAGTTAGCTCTTTTTCTTTTATGACCTCTATCTCCTGGAGGACTCTGCACCATTCCTTGGTGGGTACAAATATGCACTCCTCTGCTGTAGTTATTTCTCCCCCTTGACTGTAAGTTTCTTAATTAATGGTACCATGTTTCTTTCTCACCCACAGTTCTGGCACATTGTGAGCATATAGTAAGTGCTTGCTGAATAAATATACAAACAAAAAGGAAATTGCATGAAATACCCTAAATAACCCCCACTTAGATAACTGTTACATAGAATTCTGGAATTAAAGACCAAAATAATACTACCATATAACAATACAGTGATTTGACTAGATACTTCTAAACTTTGGATACAATAAAATGTGTTAGCGAGCATTATAAATTGTTGGAATACACTTAAAGGCACCTAAATTAATGGGAAACTTGTCACTTAAAAATAATATGATCATTAATTTTAAAGTGAATGAAGATCATTTGCCCAGTGACTTCAGATTGTTATTCTACTGAGATTTAGATTTTGATAAAAATTTGTAATGAAGAATCTGTATTCAATAGTTTCTCCTTTCTTTTCAAGCTATCTTCTTCAACCCCTCCATTCTATTTCCCTTATGTGAAAATGATAATACATTGCCATAATAATTATTCCTATACACACACAGATCCACTTATAACCTTCATTTTTCTCAACACAATTTGTCAGCCTGTCTTCCCAGCGAGTGTGCTTTGAAAGTGTGAAGTTCACTCAAACAGGTTTCTTTCTTTTGACACACATCTTAAAAGGTCATTAATTAATTTATTGTGCAAACACTTAATGGAAATCCTGTCTTATGTGAAGCACAGTGTTATAAAAAAAATAACATGCTGGCCAGGCGTGGTGGCTCATGCCTGTAATCCTAGCACTTTGGGAGGCCGAGACGGGCGGATCACAAGGTCAGGAGATCGAGACCATCCTGGCTAACACGGTGAAACCCTGTCTCTACTAAAAATACAAAAAATTAGCTGGGCATGATGGTGGGCGCTTGTAGTCCCAGCTACTCGGGAGACTGAGGCAGGAGAATGGCGTGAACCCGGGAGGTGGAGTTTGCAGTGAGCCGAGATCGTACCACTGCACTCCAGCCCGGGGGACAGAGCGAGACTCCATCTCAAAAAAAAAAATAATAATAATAATATGCTAAGGCCTCTGTCTTTATGGTTCACATGGTTTTGTAGTGGATCAAGATGCCTAAATATAAGTTAAAGAGAGATGCATGCAGAAAAGAGGTTTAGGTAAAGTGTCTGTGACTTCAGAAAGTGTTTGGATGGTGAAAAGATTGAGCTGTAATAAAACTGTCTTTTGACATGCTTGCTTTTATCTGATGGACCTATGAATCTGATCAATTTTCCTTTTTGGTCTGCCTGCTAGGAATCTCAGAACCATTTTTTTGTGGTCTACCTTTAACTATAGTATAATTTGACCTACAGTATAAATTTAATGCATTGATGGAGTCCCTTACTTTTTCTTATTTTGCCACTTCAATTTTTTCTTTGTCTACTTTTTGGGTTTTATTTATTTTTAGTTTTATGTATCTCTTCAAGCTACATAAAATACGTGTGTGTATGTGTGTGTGTGTGTGTGTGTGTGTATATATTTTTTTTTTTTTTGAGATGGAGTCTTGCTCTGTTGCCCAGGCTGGAGTGTAGAGGCCTGATCTCGG